ACATGAAGGATGCCTACTATGGGGCATGAGAGTCATCATACCACCCAAACTACGTGACGACGTTCTACGAGAACTTCATGAGGGACATATTGGGGTGGTACGCATGAAAGCACTAGCTCGAAGCTACGTGTGGTGGCCCGGTATAGATGAGGCTATTGAAAACATTGGCAAAAGTTGTGCAGGTTGCCAGGAGGTGAAATCTGCACCACCTAGAGCACCACTCCATCCATGGGAGTGGCCATCAACACCTTGGGAAAGGATCCATATAGACTTTGCTGGACCGTTTATGGACTCTATGTTCTTGATCGTTGTTGATGCTCATTCGAAATGGCCAGAAGTAGTTTCCATGCGAACTACGACAGCAGAGAAAACAGTAGATGTTCTAGGGAACATATTCGCTAGGAACGGAGTACCGCGCCAAGTTGTTAGTGATAATGGCCCACAGTTTGTGTCCGTACACTTCAAAAACTTCATGAAATTGAACGGGGTCAAACACATTACATCAGCACCCTACCATCCGAGTAGCAATGGGCTCGCGGAACGTTTTGTACAAACCTTCAAGGTAGCTATGAAGTCTAGTAGGAAAGACGGCGGCTCAACACAGAAGAATCTCGCAAAGTTTCTTCTCGCATATCGAAACTTGCCTCATGCTACGACCAACAAGACGCCCTCCAAGCTATTTATGGGAAGATATCTGACGACTCGACTTGACTTGTTGCGTCCAGACACAAGACGACGAGTGGACAAACAACAAGATAAAATGCGAGAAATCAGGACGCGACTGCGCTTATTCGAAGTAGGAGAAAAAGTGTCGGTACGCAATTATCGGGGTAACCGCAAGTGGTTATCAGGTAAAATTTCCGAACAGACCGGACCTGTTTCGTATAGAGTCGAAATCGCACCAGGAATCCTGTGGCGACGTCATGTTGACCAAATCAGAAACGCGCAAATTCCAGCATCTCCACTGCCGGAATACACCATGTTGAAATCTTGCAAGCCAGCAGTGTGCCAGAATATTGAACCGATTGTGTTACCTCAAACAGACACACCATCACGTAACGTGTCTGCNAAAACTCTCCTCATGCTACGACCAACGAGACGCCCTCCAAGCTATTTATGGGAAGATATCTGACGACTCGACTTGACTTGTTGCGTCCAGACACAAGACGACGAGTGGACAAACAACAAGATAAAATGCGAGAAATCAGGACGCGACTGCGCTTATTCGAAGTAGGAGAAAAAGTGTCGGTACGCAATTATCGGGGTAACCGCAAGTGGTTATCAGGTAAAATTTCCGAACAGATCGGACCTGTTTCGTATAGAGTCGAAATCGCCCCAGGAAACCTGTGGCGACGTCATGTTGACCAAATCAGAAACGCGCAAATTCCAGCATCTCCACTGCCGGAATACACCATGTCGAAATCTTGCAAGTTAGCAGTGTGCCGGAATATTGAACCGATTGTGTTACCTCAAACAGACACACCATCACGTAACGTGTCTGCGCGTCAGGATCATCGTGCTGTCGAGAAACACTCAGAGGGACCACTTGTGGTTCCTAATCAACCAGAGACACCAAGGGTTCCACGTCCAATAGTTGCACCCTTAGTTCGACCACGAAGGAACATTCAGCAACCAAAGAAGTTTGATGACTTTGTGCGTTATTGACTGGTTAATGTTTATTACCGTGACACACTGTGTTAAAACGGGCATAATAATCCCAAGTGTGATCACAGGAACCAGAAAGGTTTCTTTGTTAATAAAATGTTATGATGTTGTTATTTTCAATGTTCAGAATAGAAATTATTATTATTATTTTCTAAGTTCAGGAGAAGTGTATAAACTTTATAAAGGTAATATAAAGTATCCATTGACAACTTACATTAGTAACAAAAAACCCACATTTAAGGCTTGTAAAAGACATTTAAAAAGCTAGAAGGGAGGAATTGTAGTGTATAAGACATTTCGGATATTATTATCCGTCCGCGCATAATACTAGTCACGATATAGAACTCTCCTGTATGGAGGTCAATAAAAAGAGTCTTGAGTTTACTACCAAACATGGCTGTTGTTCAGTTTGTTCTGAGGTCACAGAAACCCACATACACGACATGTATACTTCCAGTTGACACCAACAACAGACAGTTGCACACAACAATATGTAAAACTCATGGGTGTAATGTACGAGACTGTATGTCTAATGAGAGGATACTAGTTAGTAGATATCCCTTTTATGAAGGATGTGAAATTTCAGACATTTTCCTTTACACCTGAAGTGTAGACATGCCCCCCCCCCCCCCCACNGACGTATTAGACTTTGGTCCAAATATACGAAAGTTGTCTAATTTTTCAGTTCGATAACAAAATATGATTTCACATATATTCATTTTGTAAACATGGATTATTTCACACATTTTAAACCACTTTTCATAAATTGAAAAAAAATCTTATGGATATTTGAAATTTTCATTAAAATCTGCACTGTTTCATGGTTCCCGCGGTTTAAAAAATATATGAAATGAGCCTGACCCGGATTCAAGCCATATGAGCACAAAAAGAGCTTATTAAATGCATCAGCATATAGTCACAAACCAAAATGTCATAAGTTTGAGTTCCGTTGGTAGTATTAGGCTCTTTAGTGGGACCGTTTTTTACTATTAATAGAGTTTTAAAAGTTCTAGATTTTTTGATTTTTTTTTCACAATTCGCTATTGACAATAGCTGAATGATAAATTATCTGAGCTGAGATGACTGCCCATAAATCCATATAACCGATTTAACCAAAAATAAGAATTTCTTTAATATTGATGAGACATTGGTTGGTATTTGGTCTTAACTCTTTATAATTCTGTTCAAAAAATTTCCAAAATTTCAGCATCCAGATTTACAAATATTTACACCTGAGAGTTATGGTCAATTTTTATTTCACTATACACACGATACATTAATTTGTAAATATTTCCATTTTCCAGACGGAGTGGCCCCAGCGCCTTACCTCAGAAGGGGCACTTGACCTAGAAGGGGAAATCTTACTGCTGGGATCACAGGAGGAAATTGCAGATCTCCTTAGGGAATCAGCTCGTATCCTCTGTCAAGTTGTTTTTTGTGGAATTTTTAGACAAGAATCTTTTTCTCTAGTCGACAGATTTTTTCCAATCAAAATTGATTAAAATAATTTCTGCCAGTCATGAAAAATATTTATATCAACCTCTCATTTTTAACTAGAAAATAATTGAAATATTTTGACCGAGAAATTTTGATTTCAATATTAAACTAGTGATCCATTTGAAAGAGTTGAAAAGACAAATATTTTTCTTCTTTAGACTAAGAAATCTTGGTTTCACAGTATGGTATTTTAACTTTGATTTATTTAAAGATAGAAAAAAATGATCAGTTGCTTCCTTAAGAGAAACCAGCTCTTGGATTAAATAAATTGGAGGAGTTAGAACTCCGCCTTGATGAACTGGAAGGGAAATTACATTTTTATTCAGACCAGATAGTGAGTGAGGCGAAGCAGGACACACACGGCCAAGACAGGTTGTTTTTCTCCCCGTCAAAAAGTGAGTAACTTTTAAGTCAAAATGAAAGAACCAGAGATGTACAATTTCATAATTAGATTACTAACCCACAGGTTGTTGTTTTTTTTGAAAAATTCTTCTCCAAACTACATTTCCATTGTAAATATTGATTTTTTTATCAGCTCTGACGTAAAATCTGTAAACACTGTGTTGGGCAAGTGAAATTATACACTAAGATAGAGTATATATAAAGAAAACCATAATGGACAGTTTATGTGTTAATATCACGCACAGAGATGAAGACTTGTTAGATATTTCTGTATAAAAAACATTATACTGTACATAAAGAAGATATTCTTGTATTTTTTATGAATAACAGTTATATTTCATGAATTGGGTAAGAAATAATCTACTCACAAGTAAATAAATCATTTAACTGTTATTCATTAAGACTTCACCAATATTCTGTTATTAATTTTGATGGTTCAGAAAACTGGTGATCAGAATTGAAAAGAAAATTTTCTTATCTTTTTTCTTCTATTTTTAGCTTTCCTCACAGAGATGTCAGAATCAGATGCAGTCAAATCTCATCACAGTGCCAGAGGTCACAAAACTATGGTAGGTCATAGGTCATAGGTCATAGGTCATAATCCAATTTTAGGTCAGAGTTCATAATCATACAGCAATAAGTCACAGGTAATGACCCAATACTGGGTTAGTGATTGTAGGAAGACAATAAGTCACAGGTCACAACTTATGACCTGATTCTAGGTCAGAGGTCATGAGAAGACAATAGGTCAAAGGTCAAAACTCACAACCCATTTCTAGGTCAGAGGTCATGAAAGGACAATAGGTCACAGGTCATATCTTACCTATTACTGGGTAAAAGGTCATGCGAGGATAGTAGGTTTCATCACAGTACCAGGAATCACACGACCGATAGGTCAGACATCATAATCAAATCACATCCATCGCCCTCTTGAAAACAGTTTGGAAATGCTTTTGATGACCAAAATTTTATACATTTCTTCATACATATGGCTTGATATTTCCATAGTTTCAAAAGTAGTTACAGATAATGTTAAAAATAAATTACAAAAACATTCTATTGAACCTAAATCTATTTCCCGAACATAAATTGCTCTTATATATATGTAAGTTACAGTAAAACCTACATAATTGTTGCTATGGTATTGTATACCTTATTTCATTTACCACTTTGCTTATTTTTTCTTAAAAATTCCCTACATATAATCCCAATCCCTGTTGCAATGTCAAAATTTTGCTGGACAAAAGGTGTTAGCAGTATTTACTGAAAAAACTTGTTTTCCCCTATTTCAGGACTTTGCTGAGTCCATGATGGAGACGAGGAAGAAGAGTTTGGAGTATTGTCAGTTCCCTGGTTTCCGTGTTGGAGAACTTATAGAACTTCCTGGACAAATGGAATCTCCACCGATCCTTCATCGGGTCACAAAGGCACAAGACTTCAACGTATGTCTCACTTACCATTACTAAATCTACAGTAAATCTCGGACATTTTTAGTAATTATATTTGTGCCTTTTCTCCCATAAACCTAGGATAGTTAATATCATAAAGTAAAATTATATGCAACATATCAACTGTCAAAATTGATTACTGCATAGCTGTCAAACCTCCCTCATTAGGAGGGAGACTCCCTCATTTTGACCAAAATTTTCCAATCTCCTTCAAAACTCCCACATTCAAGTCCAAGCTCACACAATCTCAGAATCTACATACTGTGGTCAAATGATCTCCTAGTTACTGCAGCGTGTGTGTAATGATCATAACAGGTGTGTCTGAATCAAATGAATGCTTTTTGGAGTTATTTTGATACATATAAATGGAAAGATAAATTGAGCAAAGCAGTTTCAGTCGTGTTTCATGCAGTTTTTCCCTCGTTGGAAATGTGGAATGAGGTAGATCTCCGTCATTGGAGGTTTCAGAGGCTGCACCTAAGTTACTGGTAGCCAGTTAATGCAGATGTTTATTTTAATCAGATTTTAAAATAAAAAAATAAAAAAAATATTGAGAGAGTTAGTTTTTATGATGTGATATTCAGTGTAAGCAAAAGTCATTTTTAATGTTTAGAGTACCCAGCAATTTTTATTTCAATTTGGACATAAATAATTATTTATGTCTAGAATGATAAAATTAATGACTACCAGGTACTATAATTGTCAGTAATTGAAAACTCATCAACCCCTGAAATTTCATAATGAACTATTCCAACCTTTGAATTGGAAGAGTTCAAATGTGTCTTCAGGGGTGAATGAGTTAATTTTGGTTCTTCCTTGAAGATTTATTTTTGCACAAACAGGTTTGATAATTTATATTTCATCAATACACAGAAAAAAATTCTGCTTATTTTCTGATAGTAATGACTTAATACAATTAATTTTCCATTGCTTATATTTTACATTTCTTCAACAGCCTGGATTCAAGAAATTCTGGAAGAAACTGTTTTTGTCGGAGGCTTCAGTAGCCATGATGCAAGACACTTTCTGGTGGTTCTTCCTTAGTAAATATGATGTAAGTACAATAACAAATTTATTACCCTATTAAAAACATGCAACATGCACACTGTTGTAAAATGCCCACCTCCAATTTTAAGTTTGCAAAGTAAAAAATAAACAAAACAGAACTTAGAGTTGTGCAACCTTAATTATAAACAACAGTAGATTCCAAAGTCTCCAGTATTTTCTGTTTATATATATTTCTCTCTATGATGTTGTGTGTGCATGTTAAACATTTCACCTTTATTTTTTATTGGATATTAACCATTATTATTTTATATAAAACCAATTTCAGGACTTTTTGATAAACACCTTATTTTCATATTTGTTAATCACCTCATGGTGCATGTTGAATGTTTTAAAATAAATTTCAAGAAGGGAAACCTAAATTCCTAAACAACCTTGAAGATAATAACCGATAGTTGTTTACTATGAATTTATCATTCAGAAAGGAAACACTTCATATCTTATGACTGGGTTAGAAAAATCATGATTAACATGTGATGCAAATTGTATGACCTTGACATTGGTGTGTTGTATGTTTCAGCCAAACCGACAAGAAGACCTTGACCTCCTGTTTGATAGAATAGCTGACAGTTTCGTTGGCCTCTTTACCAGTATTCACACAGATGTCAAAGACAAGTTCCTAGCCGTATGTAATGTCATAATACATCTATAACCATAAAGTACATTTTCTTGAAATTCTGAAGTATGATTTTTTGTATATTGTAATGTTTTAAAAATTGAGACGCTTCTGAAATATCCCTTTTCTAGATTTGGTACCAATGATAGGATACGTTTTATTTAAAACATTCATCGAAATTTACAAAATTCCTGTTGGAATGAAATATTCCCGATAAGTAATAATAACCACTAAGTATCTTTCAGTTAGGGTACATGATTTTCAGGTGGGTTTTTTCTTGGTAAAGATATATATTGGTTTTCAAGAAAGGATCAATATTATTTTTTAATTTATTTTTCCTATTAGTTGGTGTTTCACTTTTTCGGTTAGCAGATTTGTTTTTCAAAAATGATATCCATCTCTCAGCCAGGATATCCATTTTTAAGTCAGGCTACCTGATTTAAAGTAAGGAAATTAGTTTTGTAACTGCAATATTTTTTTGTTCATGTGAGGATGTGTTGTTTTCACCTGTCCAGGTATATCCCGACTGTTTAGCCCAAGCTGTGTTTATGGCGTATTGGGAAGCTTTCCCAGAATCACGAACAAAAATGGACGAACAGTTCAAACAGGATCTAATTAACACTGTGGTGGAGTGGATTACGGGTAAAATTTCATGTATAAATGAACTATGTACCTGTAATTAAGAAATAATCAATATGTGCATGTCTTATGGTGGAATATGTAATGAGTGTGAGAAAATGTTGAAAAAAATGATTAACAAATTTAAGGCTGCTTTGGCTTAATCAATTATTTTTTTCAATATTTTGAATCCCAAGTTGTATTTTTCACCTAAATATGCAAATATATGTTGATTATATATATTTTACCACTTTAAAATATCGTTAAATGTACTTTTGCATCTACTTCGGTGCCAAGAAGGCTATGTTACCAGCTAGGTCATTCAAACATTTCAATTAAGCTGTTGTTTATGCATGCACAAACATTGGTCACTCAATGTCTTGTTTTTATTTCACCAATAAGCTGTGCACAGCTGATGTCAAAATTTCTTGGTAAAATTACAAAAAGTAACTTGGATTTATATCATAAAGAGTATTGAGATATGAAAATTCATATTTGCCAGTAAGTTTGGAGTAAGACAATTTTCTCGTAATTATTTTTTGTTGTACAGTAAGAATTGCTTGTACAGATTGAAAAATGTCAATTTTTTTCCCCCTAGGAATCATATACGTATTTGGAGTAATTATCCTTATTACAGACCACCTATATTAAGAGACCATCTTAATGAAGATATCCAAAAAATGGTCTCTAAAAAATAGGCAGTCTCTTAATGGAGGTTCCCTCACAATGGAGAACTGCAATGGAAAACATTGGAAGTGGTCTTTTAAGACAGGTGGGTTCTTAATATAAGTGGTCTCTTAATGGAGGTTTTCTTTTAATGGTTGTTCCCTCACAATGAAATCACTGCAATGGAGAACATCTTAAGTGGTCTTTTAAGACAGGTGGTCTCTTAATATAGGTAGTCACATGAGCAGGCTTGACTGTAATTTAAAACTCTATTATTTGTAGGTCTCAGACCCATGCCGAGCGTTTACAAGAGCTGGAACGTGAAAAGAATGGAGGCTAAACATCGAGGTGTGGAAAGCCAGGGCAAGGACGCCAAAAAGATGATGGTCACCTCCTTCAGCAACGACAGTCAGTACTCACTTTTCTTTCATGTTTAGAGAGGCTTGGCATGTCGGGGTGATTTTAAGACACAGTGATTGAATCCTTCGGTATTATTAGAAGGAGTTTGATTAATTGTGTTTTATATTTTAACACAAACCGCTATCTTGAGTCACTGATGGAAAAACATCACTTTTTTTTTATTACAGAAGAATGCTTAAAACAGTTGTCATAAGTCTTTGGTCCTTGTGGAGTTAACAAGCAACATGTATATCTTTTGATGTTTAAACAAAGATGAAGAGAAAATTGCATCTTCATCAAACTTGTGTTATCTGCTTCTCACTTATTTTATAGGGTTAGCACCCAAACACATACCATATTGACATAGTCAAGTCACTGATAGTTACATAGCAAGTTTGCAAACAAGCAAGCTTCTTGCATCTGACAGATTGGCAAAAGTAGAATCCCAAATATTGTATTTCTGTATTCTTCTGTTTTTTTACTTGAAAATCTGTAAATTTAATTTGCTACATAGAGGTGAACGCTTAATAAAACTATACAGTATACATTTTAACTTATTGAATAAAATAGTATAACCGCCTGATAATATTTTTTTAAAGTAATTAAGTTAAATTATTTAAGTGACTTATTCAGCATACATTTCCAGTTTAACATTGAATGCAATTTTTTTAATTTCAGTGAAGCTTTCCTTAGATATTGACTCCTTCAACAAGCTGATAGACAAAATATGGGGCGTGGAGAACACTGGTAATGGAGTGTCCAGTGGCCCGACCCCTCTCCCTTCCCGTGAGGTCACCAAACTGACCAATGCCAGTAACATGTCCATGCAGAGTACTGGAATGATGAACCAACAGTTGGAGGCAAAGTTTTCACGAGGCAGTCCTTCCCGCATGGCCACTTGTGGCACCCCACGACGTAAACCTAAAGAGGTGAGTTTTAATGAACCAGTCCCTCTCTCATGGCCACTTGCGGCACCCCGCGACGTAAACCTAAAGAGGTGAGTTTTCATGAACCAGTGCCTCAGGCATCGATACTAATGGTGCAACACACTGTAAACCTCGAAAGGCAGATTTTCATCAACCAGTCCCTCTCTCATGGCCACTTGTGGCACCCCAGAATGTAAACCTGAAGAGTTTGTTTTCATGAACCAGTTTCTTCCATATAGCCACTTGTGGCTCTCCACAAGTTCTCATCAATCAGTAACTCCTACATAGCTTCTTGTGGCAACCAAATCGTGAACCGAAACTTAAAGTTAAAGGGCAGATATATCTTATTATCTATTATGATATAATTAGTAAAATTTACTTGTAATTAATTATCTTTAATAATTAGTTACTTATATTTAACTGATTCACCCCTTAAATGTCATAATGAACTATTCCAGCCTTTGAGTTGTGAGAGTTCAAATGTGTCTTCAGGGGTGAATAAGTTAATTGAGAAATCGATAAATTCTAATTAATTAACTATTGTATTAATAATTTCAAAAACAGAAAATTATCAGCTGACTTATTTAAAAAGATATTTGAACAACAGCATTGATGTATACTGTAGGTGAGTTTTGAACTACCTATTTCAATAAAACCAAACCAAAAAAATCTGTATCTCTATAAAATTGTGTGTAGTATGACTATCCAGGAATTTGTATAAAACGTGGAGGACTCCTGGTAAGTATGACTTTGTTTAAGGGAAAATAGGTTTTATTGTTACAGCCAATTTTATTTACAGTTTTTATAAAGCAGCAAAACCTCGTTCATCCAGACTCCTACAATTTGAAATATTAAAAAAAGAAAATCCAGGCAATAAAAAATTATTTATAGATATTTTGATGCAATTTTCATATTAACCAGGAAATTTGTTGTTTGAGTACTGTGTTGTTCCTCTGTTTTGCTAAATAATTTACTGTACCTGGTTTAAAAATGATTCTAAGGAAATGGTTTAAATCAAAGCTCTATTATTCCGAAAAAATATAACATTTATTAGAGTGTTTATATCAAAGGTTGAAACACATGTACCCTGTAAGTGACAATCTGATTTTTTTTAAAAACATGAATCAAGAAAAATATGTCCAGATTTACGAGGTTGTTTTAGGAGTTTTGTTTTAAATTTATGTTGTTTTACTTCAAGGTTACAAAGTAGCCAGAATTTCTGTTATTTGTTTTAGACAAGTGTTTTGTTCAAGTGTTGTTTCTCTGATGCAATATTCTGTTACTGATTGAAAGTTTGAGGAATTGAATCCTCCTCAGTACCAGTTTGTTGTGTCCTTTAACAGGACCCTTTACCCTGATTGTTCCAATCTACCCAGTTATGCAATTGGGTACCATGTTTTTATAGTCCTTTAACAAGACCCTTTACCCTGATTGTTCAAATCTACCCAGTTATGCAAATGGGTACCATGTTTTTATAGTCCTTGAACAAGACCATTTTCCCTGATTGTTCCAGTCTATCCAGTTATACAACTGAGTACCATGTTTTTTTAGAGTCATTGAACATGACACTTAACCATGATTGTTCCAGTCTACGCAGTAATACAAAAGGTACAATGAACTCTTCCAATTCAAAGGTTGGAATAGTTCATAATGAAATTTCAGGGGTGAATGAGTTAATACAGGTTCGGTCAATAGGAAAATACCTGCATAGATGAAATTGAAAGTAGTCTCTTTGCACAGGCAGTCTCTCGAATAGACTCAACTGTATGAGAGTTTTCTCTCTTGATAAGACCTATTGCTGCATGTAGTTCATAATTTGTTTGACCTCTGTTGGTCAAGTCTTCTTGTTAAAAGTACAAAATGGCAAGAGCTGAAAGGGAGCAGAAATACCCTGTTTGACATCTTATTTAATAACGGCCCCTGACTCTGTGCATTTGCATGTGTACTTGAACCTAAAAATACCATATATGTATACTAAATCTTATGTAAGCTACACTGTTATTCTTGGTTTGGCCCCAACCATGTTTAAATTATTATTAATGTGTGCTTGATCCTATATATATAGGTTGCACAACTGTTTTTTGTCTGGCCCTAACCATGTATATTTGATCCACAGTCACACCAGATAGGACCAGGCCCTGAATATGAGCGTGTGATGTTTAACACCTCCGGAAGGAGTCCACTCATTTCTCACTTCCTCCATATGAGACAACTCAAGGATTTCCATCAACCGGGTCGGAAAGTCCGTCGGACGGAGATTGTTGGACTCCCATATCCTTTTCCAAACTTTGCATCATAATGCAATGTTAAATTTTTTAACAATGTATAGCTGTAATTACTTTCAAGTATATCTGGGGCCAAATTTCAGCCATTTTTCTTGGAGAATTTCAGCTATATTTTCCTAAAACCACTGCATAGAAAATCTATGGTTGCATCTAGTTATCTAGTTATTGAGTTTATCTTCTTGTTCAATGGCAAAGCTTCTGATTGTTGTGTCAATGAGAAATAAATATGTTTTTTTGGTTTTGACATGTAATATAGCAAGGTTTTTATTATGTATTATATTACCGCATTTATCCTTGACTCTACCCACAAAACAAGGCCCCACGTATAAACAGCTCATCAAGAACTCCCTGGCCATGTCGGACGCTCTAAAGAAGGAATACCAAAAGTAAGTACAAACTTGACACACTTAACCCTTTCACCACTGTAGACTGCCATAATGGACTCATCCCAATAAATGCTTGGTAGAGTCCACTTAAGTTACCTAGGGGTGAAAGGGTTAAATCCCAACAATTATATACTTTCACTATATGTAATATGATTTTGTTTTGTCCTTTTTTTCAAAAAGGTTTTGTTATATCATTTCCGTTCTCTTTTTTTTTTCCTAAATTGCATCGAAATATTTCGGTAAGGTAGGTAAATTATCCCATTGGCAAACAACTAAAATATTAACAATTTTGTCTCCCTGTATGACAGGTTATTATAACCATTAGCTTGAGAAAAACACCAGTCAGTAATAAACATATTTATAGGTATAAAAATTTTGTAAAAAGTAAAACTTTGATACAAATATTTTTTTCCAAACTGATGACTCAGTATTGAATTAATGAGTCTTAAGGATCCTCTTACCATTGCCAAAAAGTGTAATTAACTATTGGAAACTGATTTTTCCAACATGACCATAGCTTTGATAAATCATTCCTGAAGAGAAAACCATACCTTGTGGGACTTTTTTGAGAAGAAAAAAAATGAAATGTGTTCTGAGTGTAAAAAGTCAACAAGTCTAGACTGGGATTCGAACCCCGGACCTCAGATTGTTAAACTACCGCTCTAACAACTGGTCAACAGAAGTGTCCAACTGTGCTTCATGCATGAAATTTACCTCAAGTTTAAATTTCTATTAGCAGACTTTAAAAAAATGTGTTCATGATTGGTTTTAAGTGATTCTTCTTCTTTTTTTGGAAGGATCTGTGACCAAACACACCAGGAGATCATGGAACTTGAGCGGAAGCAGAGAGACTCAAACCGCGAAATAAATGACCTGAAGCGCGAACTTATGCTGACTAAAGACCCTTATCATCTCAAGATTCTCAGTGAACGCATCCTTGGCCTCCGGGTAAGTAGTCACAATATGGGTAACACTAAACGCTTTCCTCATCATAATTTTTATACGACCGTCAAATTTGACGGTAGTATTATGGTATGGCGTTCGTACGGCCGTCCGGCGTAAACTTTGTTTGTCCGGCAATCTCCTCCTACATTTTTCGACCGATCTATTTGAAACTTGGTATACATTATAATCATGATATGAAGTTGTGTCTCCCTTAAAAGAATTTTGATTCAACAATTTTTCCAAAAGTTATTGCCCTTTGTTCATTTCAGTATTTGAATTTTGTCCGGAGATCTCCTCCTACATTTTTCGACCGATCTCTTTGAAACCTAATATACATTATAATCATGATAGGAAGTTGTGTCTTCCTTAAAAAAAAATTGATTCAACAATTTTTCCATAATTTATTTGTTCATTTCAGTATTTGATTTTTTGTCCGAAGATTTTCTCCTACATTTTTTTATAGCATATCAGCTAACCTAAACCACTCTTAGAATGATGCAGATCTTATTTCAATGTAAGAATGTATATAACACTATATGGCATTCGACGGGCGTATATTGTTCTGCCCCGCGGTACTCTTGTTTGTTATGCTTTCATGAAGGTTACACAAATAAAATAGAACAGACTTCTATATTCAGTTAGAAACAGGATTTCTGCATTATGTTTGAAAAGACAAGTTGTCAGAATATTTGTGTCCGATTCTTCTCTGTCACCATATTAACAAGACAAATTACTCTAAAGATCTCAATAAATGGACGTGTCATACCTTGTTTATTATATATATCTTATGTAAGATATCTTATACAAACTGCTTTATGAGATGGCCTGATATGATCTTATGAAGAAACTTATCTAATCAGAAACAAAAGTGACTGATCGCGACAAAAAGAAAACCTCAACCACATTTTGATGTACCACTGGTTTTGGCTCTATCCCTGTTTTTGAAATTCGTATCTTTTACATTATTTAAGATTATGTTATTTATAAGATATCTTACATCAGTTCTTAAGATATCCCATACGATATATAAGATATCTAAAACCTTTTATAAGATACTTTAAATCTATATTTAAATCTCAACAATATATATTCATAAAAATTACATGATATGCAATAATCCTTCGAAAAACACCTATAAATACCATTAATAAATAACTTTCAATGATTCTGTTTAACAAAGGATGGGAAGGTATGAACTTTTTTTCTGACTAAAAATTTATATTTACTTTTTATATTATTACTTTAATTTAATGAAATAATAAACAAATATAAATAAACATGTGTCCTGTTGATTGTTAACTTACCTTTAATATCATAGTTTACCTGTAATCAACCTGGAAATATATTCCCTTATAAAGAGGGTAAAATGGGTATACAAAGCTTTTTGCCAAAAAATACCATATCAATTTAGGAGCATAATCTAAGTTTCCAGATGTGTTACTCTTCTATGAGACCTTTTTCTTGAATAAAGTTTTAGTTATAAGGGAAATGGTCCTGAAATTTCTTTTGGTTAAAACCTGTTCAGTCAATTTCATAACACTTTATTTATTAAGTTATTTACAGATTTTGAATTGCAATTATTATATCTTAAAACTTTTCTTTGTCTAAAAAAAACAGAAATTTCCTCCATTATCATATTTGAAAGAATCTCGGTTGTATTTCTGAAATAATAATAAAAAAATATGTAATTTTTTTGGGTGGGCTTATTAGTGAACATGGGCTTATCACAGGTAAAATATGGTAAAAAAATAAAAAAAAATATAATGTTAATCGTCCTACATTATCTAAAACATGGTTTACTGTTAACTGATTCCCTAGCATTGGCATTGGACAGGGGATATAGACTTTGTCAAATACAATTTGAATACCTGCATATGCCATGAGCTTTTTATGAGAGTGGTATGATGCAATAATTTGACAAAATTTGTATCTGATGTACAAGAGTGTAAGATTCCCTTTATCATATGACCTTTTCAGGAGAAAAACATTTTTTAACTCAAATTCTGAACATGACTTTAATGACTTTCATGAAATGACATTATTGTAATTGTGATGTCACAGAGGCACATTATTTAAGCCAATCATAAATTTGAAAAAACCCATCATGCACATATCCCCTCGGTATTTGTTTTGATAAAGATGCAATATAAGACATCAGTCATATGATGATACGTATTTTACTTTAAAACATTACTGTAACCAATGCTATATGCTGCGTAATCTGAGTTTGAATGCATGAACTTGATGTGTTTTGTTGATTGTGAACATCATTGATATGTTGTGTGATGGTGAATGGTTGTGTGTGACAATTGATTTCATATCATATATACGTTTTTTATTGCCCTCCCCCCTTGCCATGTTAAAGGGGGGCATATAGTGTTTCCTGTGTCTGTCCTATCCATTCCCTTCCCATTCTCATTTCGATTCACTGTTATCACTCTAGCAACTTCATTTCTTAACAGATTTTGATACGATTTTATACGAAGGTTTATAAGTATAAGAATACCTCAAATGAGTTTCAGGGTTCCAAGGTCAAGGCCAAGGTCACTGTTGCTATTTATAGAAATTTGTCAACCAATTCATTAGCATCAGTCCAGCAGCTTAATTGTTAACAGAGTTTGATCAGTCTTTATACGATGGTAAAGCATGAGAATACTTCATATTTCAGAAACCAATAATTATCATTTTTAAGGTCATAAATTATCATACATTATTAATGTTAAAAAATGACCAATATATATTATATTAGAATTTAATAAATTGAAAATGGCTACTGTAATTTCTTATACATGTATATCGCACATGATATTTATCTGTGCATTAATTCGCTTAAATATTTGATCACGAAAGCTTTTGATCACCTGAGTTCAAGTAACCCACAAAATGCTATTTATCTATTCAAACCATAATACTACATGCTGAGTGAAAAGCAAAATTTCAAACCTTGTGAAACAGTAGGAACAAGTTACTTTGTAAAATTGTAAGATTACAGTATTATGATCGGGCCAGTCCAGTTTCATGTCGTGAAAAACAACAAAAATATGAAAATCTTTACTATTTTTTCTCTCTTGACATTGTCTGTTTACCCGTTTTATGATTGCTTGCCCCTGTATATGAAAACAAATGTATACTTTTCAGAGAAATGGTTCCGTCGAAGATTTGTAAGTGGTTTAGACTATAAAAAAGGCTATGGGCTTTTATGTCTTCTTGCAGAAGAAGCAAGTGGAACTAGTTATTTCATAAATCTTCTCTCTTATTCATTAAGAAATTTATAATAAAAAAAATATATTAGTATCTTTTAGAATGTGATCTTAATTTCAGCATTAATTGTTACCTGGGTATAACATGTAGTTACTTATCTATTTTATTTACATGGAACTATTTTCCTTTTTGTAAACATTTTGTAATGGGATATTGACATTTCTAAGGTTTTATCTATACTTTGGATAAAACATTAATTAACTGGTTTGGTTAACAATACTTAGATGGTCAAACAGATTAACATTTTTCTATTTGTTTTTTCATACGGAGTATTGAAGACATGATATAACATTATTGCTATGTACAAGTAGAAAACATTTACAGTGGAACCTTGGTTATCTGGATAGTTTTGCCCCGAAAAATCATAAAAACAAATGCAATGAAGTTGTTGTGAAATTTTCTTTAATCGATGGGTTGTTTCATAAATTGCTACAAAGTGACAGGTATTTATTTGGTGTTTTTTTTGCCAAATTACCATTAGTTTGTGTTAACCATGTTCCACTGCATAAGAGTTTTCAAATGTAACATACAAATTAGTTGTTGGCTTCTGTCAGTATTCATGATATATGTCATTGATATATTGTGTAATAAAATCTGAAATAAAGTACATAAAAGAGGGAATTGCTATAGACAGGGAGACATTTTGAACAGGGAGTAATAACTAACAATGACTCACTATAGACAGGGAGACACTTTAGACAGAGAGTCACTATAGACAGGAAGACACTTTAGACAGAGAAACACTATAGACAGGGAGATACTTTAGACAGAGAGACACTATAGACAGGGAGACACTTTAGGCAGGGAGACACTTTAGACAGAGAGACATCTTAGACAGGGAGACACTTTGGACAGAGAGTCACCATAGACAGGGAGACACTTTAGACAGAGAGACACTATAGACAGGGAGACACTTTAGGCAGGGAGACACTTTAGACAGAGAGACATCTTAGACAGGGAGACATTTTAGATGGGGAGACACTTCAGACAGGGGGACACTATAGACAGGGATATATTTTAGACAGGGGGTAATTATTGACAGTGACTCACTATAGACAGGGAGACACTTTGGACAAGGAGTAATTATTGACAATGACAATCACTATAAAGAGGTAGTTATTATAGACAGTGTCACAATAGACTAAGAGACACTTTAGACAGGAAATCACTGTAGACCAGGAGTCACTTTAGATGGAGTCACTATAGACATTTTTACAGTCAGTGACTAATGACTGTCACCATAGAGAGGGAATTACTATAGACAGTGAATCACTAAAGACATTGAGACATTTTTACAGGAATTGAGTAATGACTGTCACTATATAAAGAGAATCACTATAGACAGGGAATCACTATAGACATTGAGACATTTTACAAGCAATAACTGATGACTCACTTTAGAGAGGGAATCACTATAGACAGGGACTATAACTTTGGACAGGGAGTCACTATAGACAAGGGTCATTATAGACACATAAAGAGTATATATTTGACATTTCTGGTATATGATTAATTTTCTTGTTCTAGCAAGTACAAAACAAAATATTCTTCATAACGCAACTGATGTTCTATTTCTCTTCCTATACTTGAAGCTAAGTCTTAACCTTGTCATTATGATCAACATCCACCTTAAACCCTCATGATAGTTTATATGAAATTCTCTGAAAAACAACCACTGGACTCTTTTCATTTTTGATCTACCAGTAATTTAAAAAAATATGGTTTCACTTTAACAGACTCTAGTTTTTATAACACTATGGTATCTGTAACCTTCTATGAAATATAACTCAATACAGTTTATTGTTTTTACTATAAACAATTGTGACATACATACCTTCATTTTAAAATTTGTCCATGTGTACTATATTAACACCGTGATGTATCATATTCAAATTAAGCATTACACCATCACTTTTCATGTACATTTTTTTTCTGTATCCATGAGACCCATAGAAAATGTAAAAAAAAAAATGCACAATAATTCAAATAAGGAAAAAGACTTGAAAGTCAGATCTTCATTTCCTTCTAAAATATCTTTTTTTATATTTTAAATTTGTAAAAAACTAATTCAATAGAATTACCGTAAATTTGCGTGTATAGTGCACACTTTTTTAGATAAATATTACCATGTCAAAAAGGGGGTGCGCACTATACGCAGGAACAAGTCATTCTTGGGTTATCGTTCTCGAGTTTCTGGTCCGCCAAATTGGATTACCGGTAACAGGTTGAAAACAACTTTTTTTACCACAAACAAAAATTTAGAATTGAAACCAATTACTTTTATTGCTATTTGAACATGCGGTGCTAGATATGCGTATTTAAAAATTGCCAGAAAATATGCAAAAAGTATAATAAAGAAAATAAAGGCTACTTTTTAATTTCAATTGTTCTAGCTAGCTGTCTTGTGAAGGTATAAATTAAGAAAACAATTATATGGAAAACAAAGCTTTAAGACAATTTATAGCTGTAATATATGTGCTTATACAGTAAAACCTTGATTTTGCACCTCGATTACTGACCACATATTTCAATGTCCCTTTTTTCTCATATTCTAAGGAATTTCTTTACACATTTCCCTCAATTTATTGCCGAACCCCTTTATAACGTCACAATTTCTCTGCACATATGGTGGCAGTATAACAAGGTTTTACTGTATTTGTATTTTTAAATGTGGATGTTTTTGAGCTTGCTGCTTTAGACGCATATTAGAATGTTGCTATGACGATTTTTTATGTGTTTACTTTCACAGGAAGTTTCCAGACAGGGACGGAGAAAGTCAAGTGTAAAAATACCTTTTATACCTTCAGTACTACTGAACGCACACACGTGTTTCTTCTCACCCAATTACCTCCCTTGTGTTCATACTAGTTATCTCCCCCATGTGTTTTCACACTGTTACTTTCCTATGTGTTCTTGCTCCCACCCACTTAACACCATTTGTGTTAAATTACCAAGTTGCCTCCCTTTGTTTTTTTCACGCTCTATTTTCCCCCCTTTACGTTCTTTGTAATTATGTTTGCACATCACTAGCTAAATTGATATATATTACCAAAATCAGTTTCTTTTCCCCATATTTTCCTTACATTCATTGCTGAGAACGTCCAGAAAAATAACAGCAGAAAACTGGCATAAATCTGTTTTGTCATGCGGTATTTTAGAGAATTTTTAAAAATTGTTCAATTTTGATTTAACTACATATTTCCAGGTCTTAAATCATTTAGCATTTGACTCTTGTTTTACAAGAATGCACTGTCTTACAGAAATAACTTTAACCTGCAGCATAATCCTTATAAGCTAAACACTAGTAATTTCACAAAAGAGTACTTTAGGTTACATACAACATTTCTGTTTGATTGTGATGATGATGTGATATCATCTAGGTACTGTTTTGTTTGTCATCAAAATATCTCTCTTTGTGTTCACTAAGTTATCTTCCTCATCTTCTCACATTTTCTCAAAATTTACAATGTTACCTCACTTTCTGTTACCAATTTTCTCCCATATTTTGACTTTCCACTGAATTACCTCCCTTTTTGTTATCTCCCCTTGTTCAGTTATCTCCCTTGTTGATTGCATGTTCAACTATATGTTTGCATGTTTTCTATTTAGAGCCTGTGTGCCTATCATATTTACCTTGAATATTTCCAATAAACTCCTAGGTATTTCAACGACCCTCTCAGTTCTTATATCGGTTTAAATAAACAATACTATAATAAATTCGGAGATACTTGTTCTAGGTTATCATTATGTTGCAAAAAGCTAACACTTTAATTATATGTATCCTAATAAGATAAATATAACGAGACTTTGAGAGCTTATTAAAATTTTAAAACAGTACAATCATGGTCATAACTCTTCAGTAACATTTAACAGCAATAGTAATAGAAAAAAAATACTTAAAAGAGATTGAATTCCAGACAAAACTAGAGATTGACAATTTGTTCCAGCAGTTTGAATAATTAGATTTACATAGATGCTTATAGATAAGGAAATATTTGTGTCTATTCAATGTGAACTTTCGTTTTCTGATTTAAATACTTAGAACTTATTAATATATCGTGTTTTCTAGCGAATTTTAAGTGAGAAATATTTAAATTCGTGTAATGGGGGTTAGATGTGAGAATGAAGCTTTAAGTGTGTTTCTGCAGCTTATACCTACCTGCTACAATATCTCTCTTAGAACTGATGTTCGCTTTTATACCAACTTCCAGTGTTGGGGAGGTGGAATCTTTGAAACTTCTATAAATAACATGAATGGGTTATATAAGCGTCCCAAAGTTGAACTCATTCACCCCTGAAGACACATTTGAACTCTTCCAATTCAAAGGCTGGAAGAGTTCATTAGGAAATTTCAGGGTTGAATGAGTTAAAGCTTTGTTAGCTTTAAAATATGATATTGTCTATTGTCTATTGTTAATTGTGAATATGTTTTTAGATACTCTGATATTCCTACTGGCTGAAAGTTTGTTGTTACAGAATTTAAGTTACCATTCTTAACAAAGAAAAAATATGTATATGATTTGAAATGCAAAGGAAATACTTTATTTAAAAATATTAATAAATGACTCGCTAACCTCAAGTTAACTATACTTGTAACAATGTTAAACAAATAAACATTAACAAAGAAACAAGCCATGCTGGCACAAACGTCATTTTTGTCTTATCATGTCATAATACAGATAATTATTAGTATACTTGTACATCATTTTTAGATTTCATAATTAAATTTGTTTTCTTATAAGGTAAAATGTGTGCATGCCAATTTATAGAACATACGATGTCATAATATAATTGCAGTGTTTTAGAAATCCATTTCATATGATTCACAAAGATATCTACAAATTGGATGCAATTGATATCTATAATATATTTTGTCACAATAGAAAATGTATCATATCTTTTGGATGCAATTGAATCCATTTCATGTAATTCACAATGATATTTACAATGATATTTACAATGATATTTACAAACATCATGTTATCTACCTCAGGCAAATGTCCATTACTGAATCAGTAATTAAGTTTGTAATTTTACATAATTATGTCAGTTATACACAATTTACAACCACATTTACAAGATTATTCACAAATGGCATGAAATCTACATCCAGTGAATGTCTATTACTCAGACATGTTTCCATTTCATGCAATTTACAAGGAAATAGACAAGGATATTTACAAATTGTATATCACTTACAAATAGTGCATGTTTGTTACATAATAGAAAAGTGTACCATGAATATCTTCTAGCAGACTTTCTACAGGAAAAAATCATTTCTTTTGTGAAAGTTGCAAAAAAGCCATTACTGACAAAAAATCTTGATTACTTAACAAATGGTTGCACAATCTGTACGTAAATCAAGGTATGTCGGATCTTCACTCGAAATAAATGAGCTTCTATATTATGTCTGACAACGGGCAGACAGCATTTTATGTGGAAAGAAAGTAGAACAAGGTCTAATTATAGCTGTGGTGTAGCCGACCTGCCATGATCTAGGTTCAGAAAAATGTCTAAAATATACAGAGCTGTAAAAAAAATCTGGGTTGTGTATATAATGCGACTATGTGTGAAAATCAATGTTAGAAAGATTGCCAAAATATCATAAAAACATCCTGTCGCAGAATTCTAAAATGCTGGCATTCGTTTGGTTTTCATTATAACAGATACTTCTAGACTGACAGGGAGCAATGTTGTTAAATTACAGGTGTTAGCATGACGAAACCTTCCTCTCATCTGCAAAATGCCTCCATGGTCTTTTTTTTTCTTCTAATTTGTTTTTGAAATTTGCCTCTGTCTCAAAGTAGACTGTCAATTTTTTTTAAAACCATTCAGTTTCTTATCAAATTTGATATCTGCCCTCACCACTCCAATGCACTCAAATGCGTTGTTGTTAGGATTTTTACAATTGTTTTTTAAATACCCCAAAATTGTCTGTTAAATATATCTTTATTAAAAATAATTGATTTTCAGATTTTTAATGATAAAATGTGGGTTATTTTAGATGTTAAAAAGTTTTTGAAAATGAAAGTATGATTTTCATGAAAAAAAATGAAAATATTTTTTTTTGTTATTGATATTATAATATTATATAAATCTGAAGTGTAAGTTTGTTTTAATTTTTAAAAGAGAAATTGGGGGTCCTATATCTAAGTATGGAGTACCTGCATGTATACTTTGATATTTTATATTATACAGTTCTTGTTTTTGATTTCGCTAGCTACTCTCAAATTAATATTATAACCTATTTACTTATGGACTATGTATGGTAAATTGTAGGAACCAATGCTGCATGCATTGTACATTATGGATATAGGCCTGAAATTCAATACAAGGCTATCTATAAAAAAATCTATTTTGAAAAAAGTATGTATTTGACAATTTATTGTAGCAACTGATTTTCTTAAATTTACCAGAAAACAATATGTAGATACGACAAATATAATGTTCTCAGGTATTTATCTTAATTTTTGTAGTTACCCATACCAAAACAAGTATTGTAATTTACCTCGACAATTTACTTGTGTTTACCTGTATCTATACCTGTGCTTACCTGTACTTACCTGTACTTACCTGTACTCATTACAGGATAGGGAACGAGAACTGACACTACTGGAAGGAGACGGTGAGGGCAGTGAGCATGGATACCATGATGAAAGCTGAAAAGGATGAAGATTCTGGGAGCTTATATGGCAGTGCTGCACAGATGGTCAAAATATTGCTGAGGATTTCTTTCTGGAAATATGGTTGTGAATTTCTTCATGGAAGCAAAATATGGTTAAGAACTTGTTTCTGAAAACAAAATGTGGTTGAGAATCTCTTTCTGGAAACGAAATATGGTTGTGATTTTTTTTCTGGACACAAAGTATTATTGAAAAACAAACAACTTTGGTGAATGTCTTTCTATGGCCAAACACTGTTGAGACTTTTTTTTCTGGAGACAAGATGCTGCAAGACCCTTTCTATTGACAAAAAAAAAACTGTTTTTCTTTTTTTTCCTTCCTGGAGGCAAAATACTGATGAGCATTTTCTTTTTAAAGAAAATATATTATCATATCCTGGTTATTTGTAATCAGATTAATATGTTTATATTCATGTTAAGATTTTGGTTTTAACACTTTGTTGTAATAAATACTATTGGAAAATATAGTGGAGAGAGTGAGTACTAGGGAAGTGAGTGAGGGAGAGCAAACAAAATGAGAGAAATTAGAGAGAAAGAAAGAGAGAGATTGAGGTTGGATTGAATTAGAAAGAAGGATAAAAAGAAAGAAGAGATCAGAGAAAAAGCAGAGGAAAAGGAGTGAGTGAGTCAGTCAGTCAGTAAATAAGAGAGTGGATGAGTGCAAAAGTGGAGAGAGGGAACAAGAATAAAGATTAAGTAAATTGTGTTGTGAAATCCAAGTTTTATGTTGTTTTTACTGCCTGTAAACAAAATCTACTAACAGTTAATCAGACATTAAAATCTATTTTTACCTTGCTGTTGATAACATTTCCGAAATTTACAACCACCTTATTCCTAAAAGTACATAGGATGGAAATAAAAACCGTATTTGTAAACTTAATTTAGAGAATCTTTTTCGCAAGATAAAAACACTTTTTATGAAGACCGAAATAAGAAACGTAATTAGTGGGGGAATAACTTGGTAATTGAATCGGTGTGATGGAAAGACGAAAAGAGGGGGGGGGGGGGGGGGGGGGGGGGGGAAGATGCATGCGTGACTTCTCCAAAAAGGAATGCACTCCCGATAAATCTGAAAAGGCGTTTTTATGTCCCTTATACGACACCCTCAGACATATAGTTATATGCGGAACATGAAAAACCAGGGAGTTAAATCAACGGAACTTCTGGAGTGTCCATATTTATTAAGTCCTATTGGAAACTTTCCGGAAAAATTCCGAAATTATTGGAAACGAACATACCAGATCTGCAATGATGAATACAGTGTTATGAAATGTTTTTAACATAAGTGTTAAGTTATTCAATTTTTATAGGACAACGTCATTCTGATTTATAACCTGTGTGCCTGTATTCCGCTCAGTACTACAAGCATAACGCCATTGTTCTGCCTGCCGTTTGGTTCGTATGTAGATTTTCCTTTGTTTTTTCTCGATCTTTCAGAAGAGATGTATTGTATATATCAATGTAAACTTGTTTTGGTCACGAAATCAACCACTCAGAGCAATAACAACTCTCATTTATCTTCTTTCAAAATATAAAAAAAATCGCCGACATTTTGAAAATACATCTTTTAAAAATTTGCATGTATATTTTATTATAAATCGTAAAGAGAAAACAAATCTCCGTTTTATTTATTTTTGTAAAATTTTAATATTCTTAAACACTTTTTATGGATGATTGATTGCTTGGTTGCTTTTTACTAAGTGCGAAAATGAATATATCATCAGGTTTTGTACCAATGTATACACGTCAGCGATGGAAGTAACGACTTTTCTGCACCGATCTGAGTTAAGGTGTGTCTCCACACAACTATAATTGGTACACCTCTAAGTCTGCTAAATGCCTGTACAGCGGTGCTGGTAGTATCCAAGACCAATTACCTTATAACGGACAGGGATTATCCCATAAACTGATTACAAGATTGTGGATAATTGGTTGGATCACAGGTACCTGATAATTTGTTACAGCTATATTTGTACCCAAACTAAGATGTTCAGAGTAATTTCATATGTTTTAAGGGTTTAGATCGACTTTCGGTAAAAATGACACCCTCAATGATGTGTCATTTTTACCGATCATTGGGGTGTCATTTTTACCGAAAGTGGATCTTAGTCGATAGCTGTCTTGACAATCGGAACAAAACGATCAATTTGAGTCGAATCCACATTTTTTTATATAAAAAATATCGGTGTTCAGTTAAAAATGGCATTGACATCGACGTTCATTATTTAGTATGTCAAAGAATATAAATTAAACAAATTAAATCATTAATATGAAAAATGCCAACTACAACGATAGATCAATAGAGATCAATGTATGATATAGGAATTAATGACTTTCGCATATTTATGTTGCTTTGAAAACAGATATTTGTGTTGGCCCTAAAGTTCTTGGTTTCCCGAGAGAGAGAAAACACCATTTCGTTGATTCAGGAAAACGTGAACTACGAGTCCCCCCTCATATACGGATTCTGATTAAATATAAAACTTTTAATTACTTCATGGACCAATAAATATAGCTGTAACAAATTCTCAGGTCCCTGTGGGTTGGATGATGGTGTCATGTTTATATCTGTTTTGGTAATTGACCCAACTTAAGTTTAATTGACAGACACTTTCAGCATAATGGGTATAAACGCAAGAATCTTTTTTGTCACTTTTGCGCTCATGTAGTTTTTAACGTCCGGATGCTACGTCACGCGAGACCGGAAGAATATGAAAAGTGGCGACCTGTATCACAACACTTTAGCTGACAAACCGGAAGTCGGCCTAATTTACACTCAAAGGCTCCACCCTCATTACGACCGTTACATGGCAAGACTTCCGTCCAATAATGAGCAGAATCTGTATTTGCTTGATAGGTTGCCATAGAAACACTATTGCTATACACATAAGCTTTCTTTAAATTTGATGGTCAGGTTGCACTTTTGGGCCAATAACCACCAATTTCCGTATATGTTTGCATAAAATGTTTTTTTAATATAAAATGCATTCCAATTTCTTTGGATTATGGAACTTCCCCATTAGCCCGAATATTTTATCCAGTGAAACTTTCTCACTCACAATAAAACTTACAATGATCTAATGCTTTACGGCGCTTTCCAGTTTCTGTGGAAATTGGAAGTTCATTAGTCCGGACACGCTGTACAGTATAATCTGGTTAGTCCGAATAATTTTTACACAGGAAGATCGTTTGTTCGGCATGGGAAAAAACCTTTTTATATATCGTTGTCGTTGCAATATCTACTGGTTCTTTAACGAAAGATGTTATAACAAACACCGTGAACATGATATACAGCAGCCGACAACGCCATTGTCTGATGTTCACAAAGGACACGGGATAAGTTCCCCACATTAGTCGCCTCTTAGTGTTTTGTACCTTTCATGTCTTGGAAAATTGAAACAGTATTTATTTGATAGCGAGAATGAAGATTTATTAAACAAACTCCTCAATACAAAAGCGAACAATGGGTTTGAATATGGAGGGAAAAGACGGAGTTTCTGAATAAAGAATCCTTACCCAAGCCTGTGGCGGATCGTTAGTAACAGACCCGTTATGTAATCTACACTGATGCATGGAAATGTAATCACTCTGTCCGAATCACCTGATGCCGTATTAAAGAAGCTCAGTTGCATCCTACAGAAACAATACTCAATAACACCGACTCGACCATTCCTTTGCATGATAACAGTACGACTCCATTACAGAAATAATATTAGTCTAATGACGAGTTATCTCGCCTGGATCATCTCAGACGTTTGTAACACGCTGACAGGTGTATGGTACGGCATCTTGTTTTATGATATTATCTAAGCTTAGTTAATTTTAAATTATAAATATTATGGTTATGGCGCGTTACAAAGCATTGATTTGGATTGATGATTGAAGGACCGGGAAGCGTCAAAAGTGTGTAATGACCTATATGTTTCGTCTGCAAACCAATATAGGTCTATAGGAACTTATTTTTTACTTTATATCGGATTCTTGTGATCAAACCAAAGTGCGAGTTACGCATAAATACCCGACCAATGAACCCATTTGACCTTTCGTGAACTCTTGTAAAGACTGCTCTCCAGTTCGGTTCCACTATGTTACAAGCCAACATGTCCGGACTAGAAGCGAGGTTTTACTGCAAATGAAGAAAAGTGTTCGAAAATACATATAAACTAATTAAGCGACCGGAATAACGAAGTTCCGACATTCATATAAATCAAGGTGTCCTGACTAGCGAGGCTTTGTAATATGTAGAAATGAAGTTTCCGGGATAGCGGGGTTCTCGAAAAAAAAATGTCTGGACTAAAGTGACTCTGTTAATCTGCATTAAACTTAGACCAAGGTGTCCGGACAAAGGATATTTCTCTGCACTCATATAATAGACACGATAGACATGAATCTAAATTAAGTCTGACTTAGGTCGGAAACATCGTATTTCAACTTACTTATTGTGGCACCACGTGTTACACGTACCGCCGTTAGGGAACCTTTGTCAGCTGCACTGGGAGTATTTACTTTGTGGTTTCTGAGGGATTCTACAAAGACATGCTCTATCAGTACAGACCAAGTGGGGCCATAACTGTTACAGTAGTCCCAAAGTTCTCTCTATCATCCGAACTGTTCAAAGAGCGAAGAGAAAATGTTCATCTCGTGTTCAATACCATTACCCACTTTTATCACCGTGAAGTAACTCGGCTTTTTCTTCGTTGCCAGAACAGCTTCACTCATCTCGCAATGTTTGATTTTACAGCATTCGTCATAACAACTACAATCGATATAGAATCAACAAGATAGGGCAGATGGTAGGAACAGCAGAGAGGGGAAGTTTTACAAGCGCTTGCGCAGATAAAAAAAAAGTCCGAATTCATTGGGCAGATGGTTATGTTTTGATCCGGCAGCATCTTCCGTTGGAACGTGATAATACTAAATTTATAGCATCGTCTTTCAAAATACGAGAAAATTATTGCTTTTACCGGGAGAGGTTTAAGTACAGCAATCTGAACGTCTCTTGGCGATTTTTTAATCACTCGTCAGAGAAAGAAGAGATATAACTCGTCTCCTACTTGTACAACCGGCGGGTACTTTCACTCATTCCGTGAGTCTGTGACCTGTGCCACTTTGATCATGGTAAATCTCTAATACTAATGTCATCTACAATTGCCCATTTCCCCCTAAATTAAGTCCGTCTTTTGATTGCAGCGAGTCACATACTGAATTTCGGTCTCGTGCTCAATTATATACAAAGTTATTGCCCTTTGTTCAAAGTGCATCAGCGTCATGTGTAAGATATATCTCATATATTTCTACGTCTTGGGATTGCGGAGAGCTACATATACTGAAATTCGGTCGCGCGCCCCTTTATACACAGAGTTATTGCCCTTTGTTCACAGTGTATCACCGTGTGTAGGGTATATCTCATTAACTCTGTCACCTACAATTGTCATTTTTTTTAAATTTAGGTACCTTTTGGGATGGTGATGTATAGTGTACTCAAAATGGATGTCATGCCTCACTGAATTCATAGAAATGCATTCTGTTTATTTTCTGACACATCGCTTGGCTTATTACGTACTAATTCGGCGTAGGGGGTAGTCGTTTCGGTACACGGTAGTTTCGGTACTTCAAAAATAAGAGGTTTCGGTACTTTTAGTAAGTAGTTTCGGTACCTGTATTTAAGTTGTTTCGTAGGTACCTAAACGACCTGAACTCTGGCGTAGTACGTA